CACATAAGCACTACATGCTTAGGATCGATCAAACGATCGAACATGTGACCGTAAACGGGCTTGTCACATGTTCGATCGGTGAGTAGATTCGAGACAAAAGCTGCCTCGATACTTACGTATCGAGCAGCTATTTTGTTTTGTCTCTCATTTACGAGTACATTTATCATGAAGAACATAAATGGGTTCTTCAGAGTATCGTCAAAAGAAATTCAATTTGCAATTAAGTGCTACAACTCAAATCAACCACAAATCACAATTCTTATGACCTGATATCACCAAACCCCATCAATGCTGATGCCCCTAACTCCGCTGTACCTACTGATCTCATATAAAGCCGTGCGACTTCTGAAACCCAGCCACCAATTGCTTGAATTTGCTCTATCGTCAATCCACCTCTCATAGCTGCAGTGGCCCCTCCAATCCTTAAGCTATGAGCCGTAAATTTACCTTGCAAATTAGCATGGTCAGCAAACCTTTTTACTACTGCTGAGACTGACGAGACCGTCATCTTTTTTCCTGTTTTAGACAGGAAAAAAGGTGCATTATCCTCCGTCTTTGGCCTGATTTTAAAATATTCTACTACCCTCCTAACTGGACAATATCTGCTATTCGTTTGCTCAATAGGCACAAACTTTCCTTTAGCTAATTGGTCTGTTTTGGACCTATTAATCCTAATCCAAAGCAGCCCATCTCTTAAACTTAAATCCTTCACTTTTAACTTACAAAGTTCCCCCGGGCGTCTCATTGTTCTCAAACCCAGAGTAACTAGTGCCAAATCACGGATCCACATTTCAAAACTAGCACCTTGAGGGGGGGAATCCAAATACTGTTTCACAGCATTCACCGGCAAAGGGTCCCTTGGCCACTTCGCCTCTGCATCCCTAGAAACAGCTCTTTTAATTCCAATGACCATTGCCTGCACTACACTACTTTTGGTTGGGTCATATAGACCTCTCAATTTATGCACCCTTGCAATAGCTGCCAAGCAACTTACCAATTCTGAACTCCGTCCAGAGATTTCCAACCAGGCCAAATATGCTGCAACCACAGTAACTGAAGCCGGGCAAGATTCACATCCAACCCTTTTAGTTAATTCCACAAACATACTCCATGCTTTAACCAACCTTTTTCTATATGCATCACTAATAGCGTTCTCAACTAAGAAATCTGCATGTTCTAAAAGCTTTCCGACCAATCTATTCGGATCGCTCTCAGCTTCCAGTGACTGTTGTTGCATGGCTCCAAAAAGCCTGACGGGCCTGGTTGAATTATTTCTAATGGCGACGGCAGATCTACTTCCTCCCTCTTTACACTTAAAACCATCGGCCACCAAGGAGCTGCTACCCAAACTGGTACAATGATTACTATTATTGCGCCACACTCCTTTGCATGTGCTAGTGCCCGATGAATTTGGCCAAAAGGCGGGCACAGGTAATTTATACAACCATACCAGTCTTGCGTGAAGCAGTCTACTGCTTCTGTACCAGGGCAAAAATGCAAACTGTTGAATCTTCTTAACTTTGCATTTATATGACTTGCAAATCTGTCGATGTCGAACTCTCCCCAACGCCTCTGCAAGTGATCTATTATACTTGAATTTAACTCCCAATCCCCGAAATCCAAAACTCTTGTAAACTCGTCTGCTCGATTCCACGCACTCGGAACCCACCTTGTACGGTAGATCTCCATATCCTTCTCCAAACAAACTTTCCAGACTTCTCTGGCAATATCTTTCTGCCATTGCATTGGCCCCCCATCTACTACTGACTTCAGAGCCACCTTGTTGTCTATTACTAGTGTCACCCATGAACCCTTTAATTGTTCTCCAAAAGACTGCAGGACTCGAAGCACCGCAATAGCTTCGAGTTGAGCTATAACATTTGCTGTTAACCTGCATGTCCAATTTCCTGCAGCTACTAGCCCTTGGTAAACTCCACACCAACCAACTACTGAGGCATCTACAAAAACCACTTTTATTTTGGAGGGTTTCCATGCTGGACGCCCGTTCCAACTTCTTAAGTTCCCCACCAGCCACTGAACATCCTCCACTGCCTGTGGCGACAAAATGACATTTGTGTCCCAATCGTTCCAACAGCGATTCCTTGCATCTATCAACCTGTAAAACTCGAGACTTTTCACTCGAGCTGGGGAAAAAGCTCTTGCCAGGCTCTGAATCTTGCCTGTAACCGAGGCCAACATCCGTGCTGAAACTCTTGGTACCTCCAGCAACGCTTCCAGTTGAAAGATAGTAGCTACAATTTTTTCCTCCGGAGCAAGTACTAAACCTTCTGCTGTGTCTATAATAAGTCCGCAAAATTTTGGATTTTGTACTGGGTCCCAACTGCCTTTCTCTTCTGCCCGAATCCACCCACAACCCTCCAAGTCTCTTTTTACAACCAACTCCCGCTGCTCCAACAAAACATCCTTCGATGGGTGTGCTACCCAGACATCGTCTAGATAGTTTCCACAAAAGATTCCTCTCGACCTCCAGCTTCCAACCATTGCTTTCATTACCTTGGCAAAAATCCAAGGTGACTGGCTTAGACCAAATGGCAGCACCTTGTAATGATACCACTTTTCTCCGAAACAGAAACCTAGGAAACGTTGAGCTAAATCGTCCATTAAGATGTGGTGATAACCCTCCTTCAAGTCGAAAGTTAAGACCCACCAATTTCTGCCTACTGTTCTTAACACGGAACCTAAACCTTCGAATTTGAAGGATTTTCGTGGCAAGGTTTTGTTTAATCTTCTGAGGTCTATAACCAACCTGAATTTCTTTGGACCCTGCTTGGGAACTACAAAGACAGGGCTTATCTCCAACAACAACTCCGGCCTCATTTCCCCTACTGCAACTTTTCGGATGGCACCTGCCCTCTCTAAACGTTCCAATTCCTTCTCTATCCATTCCCTTTCTTCCGTAGTAAATATCCGAGGCTTTGGCAGCGGTTTCAACACTAAACTCATAACCCCTTTTGGAAAAAGAGGAATCCTCTTCTCTAGCCATTCCATTACCAATGGTGCAGGTTTTATTACATCTCTCCAATATCTGACTGCTGCATCCGAATGCAACCTGCCCGTCACAAACAGACCATCGGAAACAATCTCCCTTTTGTTGTTTATTACCCCCCGAGTGTTGTCAAGCTCTTCTTTGTTTTGAATCATCTCCTCGAAAGGGCATGCCAAAGTGCTTTTTGGAACCACATTCATTGGCATAATGTCCTCTCCCTTCACATAAAAAACAAACAACCTCTCGTGCCGCATCATACCTCTTGCCCGGATTAGGATTCTTAAATCCAAATGATGGGGAAGACCGATATTTATGTTGAGAAAATTGCATCTCGGGAGTTAAATTATGAGAAGACATATCCAGAGCCGCTTGCTGCCCTGTAAAAATTGGGTTCATAGGAGCATTTCCAGCAACTGGCGAAGTAGGAAACAACCCTTGCTGATTAGGAAACTGTTGCCAGATTGGGTGGGTATAAGGTTGGGCTTGTGCAAACGCGGGTGGAATGGGTTGGCCCATGTAAAAATTAGAAAACAAATCCTGCACATTCCCATACTGCCTACCCCCAGCTTGACCTTTCCCATAGGAAAATCTAGGTTTCTTACTTCTCGGAAATGACTGGGTTGCCAATCTGGCTTTCTCCCGCTTGCCACCAAA